TTTGTCAACTTCTCGCCAAAGACATCTCTGAGGATCTGGAAAAAGCTAACTGGGTCCACCCAGTCAACCGCAGGCCTAAGACCCACCTCATCCCAAGCAGCACCTTCCAAACTGTGGTACAGGAAGTCCGCCTCATCCTGGCCAGTTATTTTCTGTACTTTCACTGATCTCTGTGCGTCTGCGATCCAGTCCTCTAGCACCTTGTCGTCACGACCACCAGCGTACTTCCTCAATTTTTTTCTTTTTTCTAGGCACTGTCACCTTTACAACTGGGGCAGGAATAGGTTGGGCAGGGTCTCCTTCACCATCTCCGGCAGGTTGTATGGCATCTAGCTGTGCTTTGAGTGCAGCCAATTGGTTTGTAAGTTCCAGCACAGCCTCTTCTGTTGCCATGACTCCAGTCTTGTTCCCGTTTGTAAATTATCAATAACTACTAATGTCAATTTTCTTGCAATCCCACTTCTGACACCAAAAATGTAACCGGCGGCAAAACCACTTGAAATCTGATTCATTAGCTGAGCACCTTGTCGCCGGTTACAGGGGGAACGATCATTTTCAGCAGCACAACATCTGAAAACCTGGCTAAAGATTTGAGAAGCACTATTACGATCTTAAATGTGTTGTTTTTAGAACGAGAGTGCGTGTTTTATCGGGATATTTAGATTTGAGCCACAGGCGAGAATCTATATACCAGTTCTTAAACTCATGAATTATTAAGATTAGACATTCTTCCAATGAGCATTCAACTATGGGTCACATGACAGAATCTATAACTCAAGTTACAAACACTGATTAATTATACATGAGTTTTATAACTAACCGATTCAGTTAGTTATAACACTCATGCATAAAACATCAGTGTTGTAACTGATTTGTGCCCAACACTAGAAAACTTTAGTCTCAGTTTTAGACTCTCATCATAGAACTTTACTAAGTTTCAAGTTGAAATCTACTTATTGCAGATTCATAGTAGACTAAAACATAGTGGCGCTTGGATGTGGGAAACCAAGTTGATTACTGCTCATGCTCAGACGGTCGCTATCTTCATCAATTATTCAATTTTGATATTTTTTATTTATTTCATGTTAAACTAAAATATTGTAGTTTCTTAGGTTTGGGTTTTAGAACAGGGAAATAAAAATGGCGGACCGTAACTTCGAGTATCGAATTGAGCTCAAAACTGATGATTTTGCTTTAACTTTACAACAATATCATTGTAAACATTTAAATTGATGCTGAGACTATAATTGTTTTAAGATTCATAGGCTTTTCGAGTATTTCAGTATTACGTAACATATTTTTGAACGCTAATAACTCAACGAATAAACATAAAAAAGTTTAAACATTCAGAGCGAACTTCTATCATGCTCTTCAAGATATTTCAGTACCACAATGTTGTGTGTCTTTGATTTTAGATTTGGTCTTTCGACTGATGATGACATGTGCAAGTCAAGAATAAACGACTTCTAGAACTCCAACATTCAGAAATTGTTATCATTTTAGAAAAAAGCTAAAAGTGCGAAAACAAAGATCATGCAGCCATATTAAACTTCTAATGAGCATGTGCATTCTGCCACAAATGAAAGAGTTTTGATCCCACACGTAAAAACGGCTACTCTATGCTATATTGCATGTCTCCACATTGATTGAAACTGATTTAAAACCTAGACAACGAGTGTTAGACAAGTCTTGTAACTGAGGAGGTTTTCAATAAAACGAAACTAGTTTTACAGACAATAAAAGCTGATTTTGTGCGTCAAGACCAAATGAAATCAAGATGAAATTAATATCAAAGTCTTGCAAGGTCAAAATACTCAATATATCAAAGATTTAAAACCTAGTAAAGGTCTATGATGTGACATTAAAACTGAGACCTTTGCTAGTTTTGGGTTGCGATAAAGCGCTGATGACCTTGCACATCAGTTCTTTATATCTTATATAGAACTGATTAATAAAACATCAGTACTTTATCGGGATATAAAAGACAATCATGTGACCCAATAGTTCGATGCTCATTGGACTAATAGCTCATTAATAATTAATGAGTTCTTGAAGTAAAGTTTAAAGTCCGACATGTCCGAATTGGAGGACTTTGAACGACTTGTCATACTCATTAATTATTCGGGAGCGGAAAAAGGCGAAGGAAATATATATAACAGAAATATATTGATTTATTGCATCTCCACTAAGATTTTCAGTTTTCAAATTTTGAATACATGAAGCACCATTTGTTGTTCTTCAATAGAATGTGTTCGCATAACCCACTTTTTAAATGCTAATGAGTTTGCTAATATTCTAATGAGATTGGCACAAGAAACAAAAGAGCAAAAACATGCTTGAGTGATTTCAGTAGCGAATATTATTTCAAAACTATTTTGAGCTCAGTTCAATAAATGCAAAATTTCAAAAGGAAACATTTTTATTAAGCTATACAGCTATCTCAACTTCTCGTAAACTACATGCAAGTAATTAGATTAGACGCGGCAAAAGATAGACGTCTGAAACGGACCTCATTGTCCAGAATCGGTTTTGATTCTGGTATCGACGTGTTGTGGATGTCTGCCATGCTTGTTTTATAATTCTTCCCATGCGCCCAATTTATTTAAAAAACAATTTAAATTAACATTATCAACCGCTTAAAAGAAACGATCTGTTGGCATTCAAGGAATTTTCAATCTTGTAGCCAATAACTGTTGAAATTGATTAACTTTAATAATAAAAATGTTTCCGTTTGAAATTGTGTATTTGTTGAACTGAGCTAAAAATAGTAATATTTTGAAATCACTCAAGCATGTTTTGCTCTTTTGTTTCTTGTGTCAATCTCATTAGAATATTAGCAAAACTCATTAGCATTTAAAAAGTGGGTTATGCGAATACGTTCTAATTCCCAGACAGCTTTCTAAAACAAAAGCTATTCAAATTGTCTTTGTCTGCTATTCATGGCATTCCTAATGAGTCTAATCCATAAGATTTATAAGTATGTTATCTTCCGAGGAATCGCATCAGAAACTCGGTGGCGTAATGGTATAAGACGGCGCATATAGACTGGACGGTAGGGGATCGAGTCGTGAGGGAGTCATGTATCAAAGACCTTTTTTCACTAAATTAATGTTAAACTGATTATTTCTAATAATTTGATTATCATTAGCTAGTAGTAGTTGGAAACATGGTAGAAGTAACTGGAAATAAGGTAGAAGTAACTGGAAATAATGTAGAAGTAACTTGAAAAAGGTAGAAGTAACTGGAAATAAGGTAGAATACAAGGTACGAGTACTTCCTCTGGTTTCAAGTTACTTCACGTGGTACAAATTACAAWCAGDGATTGSYTGAATACCTCATGAATAATTAATGAGTTTTTGAATAGACGTTCGACATGACATGTTTCGGCATTACTTACGCCATCATCAGAAGTGAGAACATAGTAAGGATAGAAATATAATATATAGCTAACTTAAGAAAATGACAAAGAGAATGAAAGATCCAAGTGCTCAAGTTGTTGATTTAAGGATGGTCTCGTAACCACTTTATATGCATGGCTTCTTTTATCTTGATTTTATATTCAGTGTTGTCATTGTCTATAATTGAGAAACAGCCCTTAGTGACTGTTTCCCACATCTAGTACCATGGATGTGCTTATAAACATGTGAAGATTTATCTCCAAGTAAATGCTCGTTCATACGTGTTTTAAAGTGTCTGTGATCATTTGACCGACATAACAAGCATATACAGCTTGCACAACAAAATTTGTAAACAACGCAGGACTTCAATTCCTTGGGGATAGGGTCTTTCACAGTGAATAAGCTACCAATCTTAAAGGTGGTATTATGCTCACTGCACTCAAAAGACCATCTGGCTAAAGAAGAAATATGACACATGAACGATTCAGCAATCTCACGCTACTAATGCAATTCTACTAAAGAGAGAAACAGTGGAGCTGAATTTCAGTGAAATCTCCAATGTCTTTGCTGGACGCAACGACAACGGAAAGAATTTTGGACTGTCTCTTCACTGTTGCAGATCTCTGAAGAGAAAGTCACAATATTCGGAAACATTTATATGTATAAATAACATTCTATCAAATAAATTCATTATTTTCACGATCAAAAATGGCATTTGTCAATGTTAAGCTACGCAAAATTTCCATAAAATAAATTGCATCATTATTATATATCTTCTCAATGCTCTCACAATGCTAGAGATCGCATTTCCGAGGATTAAAATTCCAAAATTTTCCGTGGCGGAATGCCCCCGAATCCCCTAAATTCACATTTTGCACCTTCTGCCCTCATCAGCCCCAACACATAATTGAAGGGCCGGATGCAAAAACGGCGTAAGTGATGTTTTAGGGTATTTTGAAACTTTTGCGAAATGGAAGAAAATTGCCATCAACCACTTATTTTTAGTCTAAATAATCATGTTTTGCTAGTTCTTTCACGTGATTTCCTTTGAAAAGCGAAATAAAAACAACATTTAGTTATGGACTGTACCCCCCGTCCCCCCTGAGTCCAAACTTTGAAGTTTGTATAAAATCCCATCATTAGCATGGATGACAGCATGAGCTACTTATTTTTACATTGAAAAGCCATTTAAGCGACAGTTGAAGTCACAAAAATTAAGGAAAAAAAGGGCGGGCAGTTTCGACGCTTAAATTCCCACCTACAGTTAAAAAAGCACTATTTCGTTGCCTTTTCAAATTTTCCATAAAAATCGATTGACTGTCATATTGATCACGGGATGGGAAGATATTAATTAGATATATCAGAAATTCAAAATGGCACCAAATATGAAAACATTTTCCTGTAAAGCGTTTTATTGGCTGTTTACACTCGCAGCCATTAACAATCCAGAAACAAATAAACATTATCTATGTAAAGTACTTTTGTTGACAAGTTTGATTGCCAATAATGTCCTTTAAATACTTTATCCTTATGCCAGATAACCTAATACATAGATATAGATAAATTTGCCATCAGATATTGACAATCATTACGCTAGATTACCTAAACATGTATTCCTCTGAATCCTCTTCACTCCTATTATCTTCTTTTGAGATAGTCTGATTGGTTATTCGAGCCATAAACTTGAACGAGGCTTTCAAGTACATATAGGTAGTCTACACAATTCAATCATAATTGTAATGGTAAGTACAGTTGGATCACAGAAAAGAATATCCAATGGCACACTCTAATGCCAGAAAAAATTCAATGATTCACCATGCATGATGATACTGAATTACAACTAAAATCATGCTGCCTTATAGTTAATCATGCTGCATAAGTATATCATATTTCATATTATTATGGTATGTTTCAGTTTACTGTTTCCCAACCAAATGCTACTCTGGTACAAACTGATTCAGATTCCAGATTCCTATTGATCGATACCTAACTTTGTGTTTTGTTACCACCACACCCATTGCTTGGTACAGCCAAAATTAACGTACTGTTATTATTGTAATTGATTGTGTACCAGTTGTGTTATAAGCAGAGCTTCACTTTCAATGATTTTTTTAAACATTTCCAAATGCAAAGTTAAAAAAGCATTTACCACTGACAGTTGTTTTTAAAAATATTACCATAATTATATCTTAAAACTAACAACAACCAAAAAGGAATGAATACACATACAAAGAACGTTACAATGTTATTGGCACAGTATTTGACGAATGGCATTTGAAAGACAGGAATTCGCACCAGTCCTTAAACAAGCTGTCTAAATAAAGCATGATTATGACTTTATTATTATTCTGTAACTTGATTACCTTAGACCATCGACTTTCGTTGAGTAAAACAGCAGCAAAGTGATATGCCCTGGACCAGTTACCTTGGAAACTAATACATTTTGAAAAAAAAATATCATGATGATTATTAATTTTAATTTGACAAAATGATCGTGCTTGTTTTTACGACATCTGCTGTATACAAGACATCACTGTGATTATATTCTTTTGGGCATACATGGTATAAATTCAAACGATCATCCCACCCTAGATACGAGGGACTTTCGCCCACCTGAGCACGTCTCAACCTTTTTCATCACAATGTTAGACTACGTCTCCTTGACATTTAGTTAATACATTGTTAATAAGTTAATAGTAGATCTCAGTTTTAAGTGATTCTTCAACATTTATATAGTTTGGTCTGGAAAGTTACAAATATTATCAATATTATATATGTCAAGTCATGTACCTGTAGTTTTAAATTACCAGGAAAAATAGTTTTGAATTACCAGTAGTTTTAATGTCCAGCAATTTTTATGCTGTAGGCTTAAGATGCATATTGAATTTACAGAATGATTGTGAAATGTTCAAATATCATTATTATTGTATTTTTACAACTAATTACTTTAGTTTAAGTTTATGACGCAGTTTACAAATGTTCACGTGATCGATATTTGTAGAATAAGCCAAGGTTTTCCTAAACGGGGAATTCCCCTCAGTATGGAGTTATGCCATAATTGGTTATTGTTTTAGTTAWTATCAGATTATTATTTGGGTTTCGTCTCATTTTGTAGACGTATATCAAGCAATGTAAGAATAATAGTAGTTAGTCCTTCCGGAGAGTCAAACAAGCATGTAGTAATAAAGCAGAACAAAACAGAAACTAAGAGGAACGTTTTCACTGCCACGACGGTCCCTTGTGGTCCAACAATAACAACTAATGGTTGGAGTAAACATTCCATTTTCAAAATCCTTTTAATAAAATCACCATTTCCGTCTACAGTTTTTCACTATCATATTAGCATATTACATAAATGACACATATTTTTTTAGCCATGTACTGACTGAGACACTTATCTCGGTGGCAATTACACTATTTTTTATTTTTCTCTGTATCCCCTTTACCACTTCAACCTCTTAACTTATCAGCACAACCTGTGAAAAGTCTTATGTTTTTACCTGCAACACCACATAAGTTCCCAGAAACAAATGTGATGGAATTGTTTCCATTCTGATTGTACTTTGATGGAATACATGTAACGCTCCTCTGCCTGAAATAATCAAACAATTTTACTAAAGTTTTATATTATTTTTTTATTAAGAAGTATTCCTTGCATAGAGAGTTCTTTTTTCCCGAATTTCTCACATGGCAACCAGTTCTGACTTACAGCAAAAAGACAAAAGAACAGAATGATATATTTCTCCCAGGAACCCTTCGGCTCCTCCTAAAGATGGGTAGCTATAAATTTCACGATAATTAAGTTTCACGATAATTCGTCGTATCTCTCCAAATGCCCATTCAAAAAACGCTCGATATTTTTTAGAAGTGTGGCTGTACTGCGAATGGTGTGTGGATTTGCAAGTGATTTGAGCGTATTTGAAGTTGAATCCATGTCTTTAAATCACACCTTATCACACTCACCACCATAACAGGCATGTCGGAATTATGCGCGAAAAAAATCAAAATTATGCGGAATTTTTTCCCCATATTATGCGKAGAAAARRGTRAATTATGYGGAAAATTATGCGGGATGACGTCATCACAGGAACGCAAACTTTGGGAAATTTTACATATATTTAGGTTATTGTGTTTGTTTTTCATGCAAAACTCCGTTTTTATCTTAGTTACGAAGTACAGAAGGCAGTACCAACAGAAGGAAAGATCCTTTTAGACCTTTTCGTTCTCGCACGCTTTACGTCCCACTTGTATCATACGCCATATTGGAATTTGTCACGTGATCTAGTAAGGCACAGGGTGACCAGTAATGCTAGTGCCCAGACTCTTTTCTGATGAAATTTTGAACGCCTGGTACATTTGTGAAGCCCACGAAAACAAAATTATATTCGGAAAATTCTAAGCATGTTTGGGAGCGTTTTTTGATCAAAAAAACAAGTCAATGGACCACAAAAAACATTAGTAGAAGGCAAATCATCTTAAAAAATGGTATAACATGGGAAAAAAACACTTATGCGAGATTATGCGCGATTTGGTAAATTATGCGGAAAGGGGCAATTATGCGCGTCCGCATCCGCGCATAATTCTGACATGCCTGCCATAAAGAAAGCACATGGAAGTTGTGAATGTCATGTGATAGGTTTAACATTCGTACCCAGTGAATTAGGCCAAGGAAATTTTTTGACCGAAAGACGACAACGAAGAAAAAGACAGCCGAAACTTAAACTCGGGATTCCTTTGGAACCCCGAGAGTAAAAATGAAATCGGATTTTTAATACATGGAGAATCAAGTGCATTCAAAAATCATGAAAATACATTTAAGGTGGATCACAACTAATGAAATGCAAATTTTGAACTTTTTTAACTCGCTCGCTTCGCAAAAGTATTTAGTAAAATTTTGATATAACATGCAGTGATTATTGCGGTTTTTGACAGTTTTCAGTATTTAGTAATTTATTGGCTAGTTTTAAATATACAGCGCATTTTCAAACAGTGATAATTCCAGTTTTCGACGATTTRCTCTAAAACTAACAGTCGGATCATCTTGAAATTTTTAGAATTTGTATATCTCACAAAACTACATAAGTGCTATGAATTTGGTTGGAAAAACTCGGGCAGAAAAAAAGATATGAACGCGGCTCAAAAATGAGCCCAAAATATGACCTACATAGAATAAACAGCCGTATATAAATAAATATGCAACCGATTGCCATGATCTTGCGATATGTTATACATCCATTTGTCAATATTAGTGTGTGTAAATTTCAGTTCTATACCTATCAAATCAAAAGAATTACAATATTTTTACTGGAGATGAGTAATAGCTAAAATTGTGCGGCCTGTTAAWAAAATCACGAAAAGTYMATTTTCTTCGAAACGGCTCCAGAGATTTCTCTTATTCTCCTTGTACTAATAGTTCAATCCTTTATCTAATAGTTGCTGTAATTTTTATACGCTTTGCGTTCCAATCTTGGTAGAAAATATTTTGTTATTTCTGGTATACACCGAATGCTGGTCTTCGATTGATATAATTTATGCGACTTTGGCAAGTCACACAAGCTCGAATGTCGCACTTCATTGCTTTTTGAATAATATTTGCATAAATACGCAGATTAGTCGGGGGGAAGAAGAGCAATAGAATTCATTGTTCAATTTTCATGTTTATCTCCTGGAAAGAAAAATAAATTTATTTTTTATTTTTTAATAAATTTATTTTTTTCCACAAAGGAAATTAATTCTATTGCTATCTTCCCCCCGACTAATCTGCGTATTTATGCAAATATTATTCAAAAAGCAATGAAGTGCGACATTCGAGCTTGTGTGACTTGCCAAAGTCGCATAAATTATATCAAGCGAGGACCAGCATTCGGTGTATACACCGGAAATAAAAAAATATTTTCTACCAAGATTGGAACGCAAAGCCTATAAAAATTACAGCAACTATTAGATAGTTGCTTTAAGTTAGATAAGTAGCTTTATGTTAAATTAATCATGGTCATTATGACCGCTCTCTCTTAATCAGCTGGCTGAACACGTTTTTTAACAACTGGAACGGAAATTAAGAGTATCTTGAGAAAACAACAATATATTATTAAACAAAAAAATTGGGCAAACGTATGCAGTTCATCTCCGTTCTGTCAATGATATTTTAATCGGAAATGAGGAATTTTCTTTTCTCCCCATTATAAAACCTGGAGATTGAATTGATTCCAAAAATGGTCTTTGTGTGACGGCAGCAATCGATCTTTAATCGTCGGGGATTTTGACGTATTCATTACAAAAATAAGGGAATCGATTCTTCATGCATTTGGTGTTGGCATGATAGTATCAGCTGGCCTCCCGATTTGAAACTTGCTTATTCTTCCAATCGCAATTTAAGGGAAAGTAGTACTTTTCTTTGTGCTCAAATACGAGATTAGTTTCAACAAAATCGAAAACTAAGACCCCCTTCCAAATTGCACAAAATAACTTACAGCGATGTAACGGCGATTGTGTTTCTAGCGCGTATTAGGATGAATTAATGCATAAAACGTAAAAATATTGGGGTCTTAGTTAAGACCCACCCTCCAAAATTGCACAAAATAACAGCGAGCGATAGAACGGCAATTGTGTTTCTAGCGCGTATTAAGATGAATTAATGCACAAATTGTATAAATATTGGGCGTCTTAATAGGTTTTCGTGGGTCTTTGGTCTTCGCTTTCGAGGGTCTTCGTTTTCGATACAACCATCATTATTTAGTTAAATGTCCCTTCTAAATAATCGATAAACTTATATTTATAATTACTTGATCAATATGAATTAATACCTCATCTAGTCTGCCTTGTATTTGTCTAATGCGTCCAGCAAAGTACAAAAAGATCGCTCCCTTTGGAAATGCTTTGATAAAAGGCTGCAATACCTCATCTGCATATTCAACATCTCCATCACCAATTCCTGCAATTGAAAATAAAGACATTAACTGAAAAAAAACTGCAATCAACACATAGTTCTATGGCTTATGGTCATATAATTATCGAATTATAAAAGAAAAAAAATGAAAGAACATTAATTTTTATTATTATATATCAAGTGCCAAAGTTCACTTTTCCTAGTATCTTATTGGTCGAGAGTGTACCACGTGAAAGTCACAAAATTTTACTGTTTCCCGACAACTGTCCACCAGCGGTCAATAATATGTTGTGGACCGTCACTAAGTACAAAATCGCAGAAAAACACTCTTCAGTGTCGTGAAAATGCCACATTTACGGACGGTGAATTCCAAAATTGTTTTGAAACATTAAATTTCATCTACAAATAGTTATTGTATTCATTGTGTTATTATATTGATTGATTTTAGTGACATTTGACTATTTGTATTGCCATTTTTCAGTCATTTTATCAAAATCTTTAATAAAAACACTTCATTTATTTACGTTTTTTGCTCTCTTTGACACTTGATATGATAATAAAGCACTTATTTACTGGAAACCTCGGGAAACAGTATGTTTTGCGGTCCCTCGACCGCTGATGTTTCCCTCAGCTTCGCTTCGGGAAACATCAGCGGTCTCGGGACCACAAAACATACTGTTTCCCTCGGTTAAAGTAAATAAGTGTTAATTGTCCACTCAGCATGGCATAACTGTTTCGGTTCATCTATATTCAAATACTATGATCTAGATAGTACATTACTTATAAAAATATTTAAACTCTGGATTTTCCTCTTTAATCTCCCTTAATTTATCTCACTTGATTGTCTCCCTAACCTTCCATACAATCTCAAACTATTGTTAAAAGCTATTTTTTTTAGTAAATCGTTCCCTGCAGGCTAAGCAACTGCTTTCTAGGAATGAGCTTATTGTGTAATGTTATGTGTTTTATAGTTTGCTGTGACGTCACATATTGAAGTGGTTTCAATATTTCTTTAGTATTTATTCGTGACCTCTTGAGATAAAAAGAGGTTGTGGCAAGTCTTATACATTTCATTGGGTAGACAGGAATCCCATATATTAAATTTGCAACCTCGTTCCCAGGGCTACTCTGCGCCCAGAGATAGCCCTGGCATCGACCGGTCAAATATGGATTTTGATTGGCTAAGATTTTTCTCACTTTTCATTGGTTGCTCATTTGCTTTTGACACAGAAAAATAGAAGAAACAATTCAAGTGTAAAGTTGATGGAAATTTTTAAACTAAAATGCCTGAGTTCAGCGTCTACAAGATGCTAAAACTACAAAAAGAAAAAACATGAAGTAGTCTATCGCCATGCACTAGGTCTAATTACAGTAAGTAGAAGTGAAGATGTGAATATTCGTGAGACGTTTGATCATGTTGAAGACAAAAAGAAAGCGAAAAAGACTTTGCATAGCATTACAAAATATTTTTTGCAATATTTCAAACGAACCACCATTTAGAAATTATTGTAAATGATATATATATAAAGTGTAATAAAATTACATGTCATTCTTGGCGTACTTTTATCGCCTTGTACATCTGATCGCCGTTCGTTCTCGTAGTGGGCACGAAATGTTATGTTCGGATTTTTTTATTTATCATTAAGCTTATATTACTCACCAAAGATGAATATCTTAGATCAAGGCGGGAAAATAAGTTGTGAAAAAAGGATTTTGGCATGCTTTTTAAATTTGCGCGATAGAGTTCAAAGTACAATTGACTCAGCAAGATGCCTAGCCGGTATTTTTGCAAAATGTTTTTCAAACTTTAAAAATAAAACTTTCAAAAATCTTATGGTTTAGTACCTTCTAGCTTAGATGAATTGGCGTTTTAAAACTTTCTAGACTTTCTAGATAGATTTGTAGATATATCAGCGAGATAAGCCATGAAAAAGGACTAAAAAGAGATCAATTGACATGTTTGAACTTCTTCAACAAACATTGACATTTTCTTTTACAGTAAGT